TTTTTTTTTTTTTTTTTTTTGAGAAATAAAAATAAAACACTATTAGTCTAACGCGATTGGGTGAATTTCTCCATTATATAGAAGAAGACGACTTTGCTGTTGAGTTCATTGTAGCCGGAATTTCCCTGCATCTGCACCCGATAAGAACCGCGCAGAACCATCCATGGAAGATCCGTCGTCAGAAGAGGAAAACCCACGAGTTTTGAAAGTGCTAGAAGCTCTAAAACAGGCTTCCCATGAGCTACAGACTCACCCGACTACCAAGGCGGACTCCAACTCCTCCGCAATGAAAGCTCTGCTCGAGCTGGAAACGGAGTCGGACACAATCCTCTCTGACGACCCACATCTCTCCACCCTTTCTCAGTACCTTTCCGAGCTCAAAGCCCTCGTCGAGACCCTGCAGCAGTCGCGCGGCCACAGCCTCAGGAACTTCTTGACCCGCCGAGTCTCGACCCATTCCATTGCCCGAGTCGCAGGCTCGATAGAATTCGAAATTCAAGCCTGGATCGACCGCGAAAGCATCGAAGGATTGAGGAAGGCTCTCAAAGAGCCGTACAAGATCGACGAGAAATTGGTTGGGTTACTGACTCAGTTCGAGGAACGAGTCTCGAAAGGGTTTAACCGCGAGTTGCAAGATTTAGTGCTGAAATCAAAAGCTTTTTCCTTGCTGCAATCGGTTCTTTGTGATCCGAATTGCTCGAAGAGAATCCGGGAGCACGCAGCGTTCTGCGTTGCGGCCTTGATTCAATTCAATAAGGATGTGTTCGTGGGTCAGGTAAGTATGGATGCCACAATTCACGCGCTCCTAACAATGGGCTCGACGCATTCGATTAAGGTTCTATGTGCATTGATAAGATCAATCAAATCCCCATTCGTAGACGAAATTGAATCCAATGGTGAGATACCCAAAATCAATGCTTTGTTGGAATCAAAGAATTTGGGGATGAGAATCTTGGTGCTGGATTGTATTCTTGAAATTGGCTACTTCGGACGCAAAGAAGCAATCGAGGCAATGCTTAAAGCAGGATTGATAAAGAAACTGGTGGAGATGCAGAGATCAGAATTGGGTGGGGATTTAATCGACATAGGAAGATCCGAAGAGGAGGAGAATGGAGGAGGAGTGAGCGCAGGTGGGGTTGAGAAGAAGAAGAGTGAGAGTGGGCAGCAGAGGAGGTTCTTGGAGAGTCATCCATTTGCAAGCTGTGTGGCGAGATTTGCAGTGCAGTTGGAGGTGGGGGAGGGGCTTAGGCAGAGGGAGAAGAGAGCTTTCAAGCAGGAGATATTGGAGAGAGTGAGGGAAGCATCTGTCTCGGATGCAGAGGCTGCTACCATTGTTGCTGAAGTCTTGTGGGGATCTTCACCATGAAAATGTTGTAAAGAAATTGGGATACTCAAAACAAAACAAAACAAAGGTAATAATATTAGTTGTGCATAGAATTGTAGTAGAACTTAGAACTTGGTTTTTAGGCAATTGTTTGTGTCTCATATTTAGTGTTGTAAATGGAATTGTTGAATGAAATTGAGTCATTTAATTTAATGGAATTAGAATGGATCCAATGGTTCATTTTTCTGTTTTCTTTTTATTTATTTAATTTTTTTTTTGAAAGAACTAGACAATGATTCCTTTTTCTTTTATGATAGAAAATCAGTGTCGGAGAACCTGTTAAAATTTGCAGAAATTTATCAGGGTGGTACCTTTAAGCCCTTGTTTGGATAGAAAATAGTAAAGGGAAGGGAAGGGAGGGGAATGGAGGAAAATAAAAGGACATGGAGGGGGAGGAAAAGAAAGGGAAGGGAAGAAAATAGAAGGAAATGATTTGTGTTAATTTTGTTTGGATAAATAAAAATGAGGAAGGGAAAGGGAATGGAAGGATTGTATTATTTTATGTTTGGATAATTAAGGTAAAAGGAAGGGAAGGAAGGAAAAGATTTAAATTAATTTTAAATTTACAAATTTATCCTTTAAACTTATAATTGAGAAGGATATAATAAAAAAATTAAGGTTAATTTTGTAATTACATTTAATTTAATCTAAACAGTCACTCAAATTCCTTCCAAATCCCCTAAATCTGGCGGATTGCAAATCTGCAGATTTGAGGGTGGTTGGAGAGAGTACGAATCAGTCCATGTCCTTCCCTTTCTGCCTCTTTAGAAACCCAAACAGGAGGAAGGAGACAACCTCCCCTCGCTCTCCCTCCTTTGCCATCTGTCCCTATCCCTTCCCCTCCCTCTCCAACACCTCCAATCCAAACAATACCTAAATGTAGGGAAGAGTTATCTCAATTAAATGGTCTTAATTTTATAATTCAGAAAGAAACAGTGACAACTATAAAGTTTATTGATGAGCTAGAAATTTTGGAATACTTTGGTAGTTTTCGGGGTGGAGGTTAGAAGCATAGACATCAACTTCTTTAGCTTGTGATAATAACCAATGAATCAAACTTGAGCCATTACCCAAAATGGCATTAAGATTATTACGTGTAAGGTTTCTTAAGGTCTGACTTGTTTGTACAGAAGGCTCGAAGAAATTGAGGTGTTTTAGCTACCATTGAGTTATGGCAACACATCCATTCTCTTAGGCTGCCCAGTTTATTAAATTTTTACATTAGTTTGATTTTAAGGACAACTAATTTTAATAATTAATATAATAATTAATAATTATTATTTAATAAATTAAAATTAATTTATAAATAAATAATATTTTTAAATATGATCATTTAATTAATCAATAAATCTTTTATTCTTCTCTTCTTCTCTCATATCAAATATAATATTAACCAATCTTTTGTAAAAATGAGGGATTCTTTCCGTGGAGAGATACATATGGACAATTTTTTATATTTCTTCTTATTCAAGTTTAGTTAATCTATTTTTAATAGTTAATTGATAAAATTTTATATTTATTTTTAATTAATTATTAGTTAAATACTTAAACTCACAATTTTTTTTTGAGATTTATAAAGAATATATTATAATTATCATTTTAAAATAAATCATTAACATCCAAAAATACAAAAGATAAACAATTAATTTTAAACATGTCAAATTAAAAATTAGAGATGAATTAAAGTTCTACTGTGAGTACAATTTTTTATTTAATGGTTGTAAATTGTAAATATGCAAGAGACTTGTGTCCCTTGCTTTGTTTTATTCATTCATTGTGTCAATCATCTGTACATGCACCACAGCACACATTACCGTGTGATTGCACGGCATCACATCCGATGTAAGCCATCAGAAATCAACCAGATATAATCAGATTCTTAACAAATAGTTGCCGACAACACTTCTACGCAAGTGCAGTTTGCAGCTGGTCTCTAAACCACTGAATTTTTTCCCCTCTAATTGCCCTTTTTCTGAAGGAAATTCCCACGCGTTCCTTCACGACGACCAATCAAATCAATTTACTGCAGGCAAAAAAATTAGAATCATATAAAAAATAATTGAATTATTAATAGGACAAAGAAAACTATTGTTGTTTTTCTAGATAAGGTATAGTTTGAAAATCGTTAATTTGTAATTATAATTGTAAATTTTTTATTTTTTTATATCTTAAGAACATAGAAAATATATTT